GCAGCTGCAGCAGAACCGCCTGTCCCCTCTGACACAGCCAAGCAGGGTGTAAAGATCAGCAGGCACTGTAAAACACATGGGCCCTGCTCCATCCCCACCTATCCAGAGGAAAGCAGGTTGAGCTTCCCCTCACATTTCATTTCCTTTTAAATTAAGCATGGCCTTGTCTTACAAGCCCGGTAATTTGGGATCATAGCAGTTTACATCTCCATCTGATCTTTGTCCGTGTCAGAGGGAAGAAATGAGCTGAAAAGTATCCAGGAAATATTTAAATTACTTGTCAGGAAAGAGAGCAGTAAAGCAGACTAAAAGCAGCTAGAATCAAAAATAATGGTGGTGTTGTTTTGTTTTTTTTTCTTTAACTGCAGCTGCTGGATGAAAAATATGAACACTTTGTCTTGCATGCCTTGAAGTTAATTTAAAACTGATTCTTCATTAAAAAAAAATAAACCAGGCCAACAACAGCAAAATAAAATAGTAATAAAAATATGGAATTAAAACATTTTTGAGCTTTCTTTAGAAGGAAATGTGAAGCTGTGTCTGTTCTTGTTGCCTCAGCCTTGGTGGCGGCGGCTCTCAGACCCCACAGCTCATCCTGGACAATTCCATTTGCAGCCCAGTTTCCTCAGAGATGCTTCCCAAAGAGAAAACCCAGTCACTAAAAGCGAGCCTTGCATCCAGCTGTGGCTGCTGCCAAAACCCAGCAGGAACAAAACAGCAGAAAAAAAGCCTCGGGGTGGGGATGGGATAGAAAAAAAAATAAAAAAATCCCCAACCCACAAAACCACATTTGAGAAAAAGGAGCCAAAGTTTCCCTCGGCCGGCTGTGGTCACTCCCAATAAACCCTGGCTGAAGTTTCCCAGGGCAGAGGCTGCAAATTTGGAAGCAGCTGAAGGGATTTGAGCTCCAGGGAGCCACTGTGGGGGCTGGCACTGCCCTGCCCCCCCAGGCTGTGAACACAAACTTGCTCCAGGGCCAGGTTTCCATGAACCAGGATGGTGGGGGGGGTGGATTTATTTGGTGGAAAAAAAGCCATCTCCCTGTGCCCTGGGAGCTGGAGCATTCCCAGCAGCAGCTCAGGGGCTCCTGCAGCCAGAAGGTCGCTGCTCCAGTGGGGCCAAGCAGCTTTGGGGTGGTCTTAGGACGTGGACATGGATGCAGGAGTGCACTACAAGGATTTAGGCAGGTGGGTGTGCAGATATTTAAGTGTAGGAGTTCTGAGCTTTCATTTTCCATGGATGTACACATGTGACAACAGGCTACACATGTGTACATCCATGATTTATTTCTCCTTTCTTTAAAAAAGGAGTAAAGCTGTAAAATGTTGTCTGGATATGTTCTTTTGGAGGAAGCTCAGCAGCAGAGAGGCTGCACCGAGCCATTTCAAATATACCAAACGTTCTGCAGCGCTCTGCCAGCCCCCAGGCCACTCAGCAGGGTGGGAGCAGCTGGCTGCCATCGCTCTGCAGCTTCCACTTGGAGGCCTTTTCCCTGATTCAAGTGCCAGAGCTCACAGCTGATGTGCTCCCCTGAATGCCAAGGCTGCCAATCCGCTCCAGCTGCACACAAGGATTTGTACCCCTGGGCTGCCTGGGGAGCTGAGGAGGAATGAGAGATGATTTTCGTGCTTTTTGCTCCTGCTGGGGCACCGAGGGCAATGCTGGGGTCTGCAGCTCTCCTGCCTGTGCTGGAGGGGAGCTCAGACTTGGTGCAGCCACAGCCTGGGGGCAAGGATGGGGATGAGGAACAGCGGGGGGGAAATCCTGCTGGAGATCCACCTGCTCTCCTTGGGAAAGGTATCTAAGCTCAGGAGCTCAGCCTGACTCCTTGTCTGACCTGTTTGGGCTGCTCTGGGCTTTAAGTGGTTTGTTTTTTAAGTTTTAAGTGGTTGTGCCCTGCTCTCCCTGCCCAGGGATTGGGATGTGCTGCCCTGCTTGGTGAGGTCCCTGCCTGCCTCGCTGCTGCCCTCACCTCTCCTTCCCTGCTGGCAAAAATGTCTTTTTTGGTGGTGATGAGGATTGAGCAGCAGTCTAAAAAACCAGAAAATGAAGTTTAAGAAATGTAAAAACACTCCATAAAAGGCATAGATATGGGGGGATGTGGTTCAGTGGTGGGCTTGGCGGTGATGGATGATGGCTGGACTCGATGATTTTGGAGGTTGGAGTCAATGATCTTGGAGGTTTTTTCAAACCTAAATAGTTCTGTGAGAAGTGGTTGATGCTCCTCCATGGGTAGCATCACCTTCCATCCTTCTGTGGGCTGTTTTCCAGCTCTGGAAGTCACATCAGCGTGGCCAAGCACATAAACCCTGGGATGTTCCCACTTGGAAATATAATAAGAAAGCACGTGAAAGGAACATGAAGAAAAAAACCTCACCCTACTATTCATAGCTCCTTTAAAAAATGATTTTACCCTTGGCAGGCAGTTTTTGTTGCCACATTTTGCCTCGTGTTTATTTGTGGCTGCTGGGAGGACAAGGATTCTCGGGAGATGTCATCTCAGGGGAAGGGATGCAAAAATGGGTGTAAATCCAGCAGAATGGAGGAAAAGGGAGATTTGCTTAGCTGTGCCCTTGATTTCCCTGCTGTCTGTGTCTCAGCAGTTCATCTCCTGAGTCCCTGGGTGCGTGGGGGCAAATAATCACTGCAGATGTACAAATACATAAATACATAAACACATAAATACAAACACAAACTCCATAACCCAGAGGCTACAGAATGGTGGTGGAGAGGAGCTCTGTTACTCCCATGCTTTAGAAAACCTTGGAGACCCTTTCATTCCCTGGAAATTGTCTGTTGCAGGGACTCAGAGTTTAAACTGATGGCTCTGAAAAATAATTTGGATGAGGAAAGCACTACCAGCAAACTCTTCTTTGCTGAATGCAGGCATAGGATGCTCCTGCCAGCTCTGCTGGCTGCAAACACCTCCTTCCCACCACTGTAAGGTTTGGGTTCTTACCATCCTAGGGTTTTTCATCTTCCCACCACAGGATAATAAATGACTTTAATTAAACCAGCAAGACGAAGAAGGCTCTTGTACTTGGGTGGGTGGGCGATGTGATGTTGTTAAGTTGGCCTTTTTTTTTATTTTATGTCTTTTGGCTTTTTTTTTTTGATGCCTTTTTTGGCTTTGAAGCTGAGATGTGCCCTTGCTCTGGTTGTTTGTGTGTTTTGCAGCCTGCAAATGGGTGCTTGAACACCAGCAGCTGCAGCCACAGCCTTGGTCAAACTGGGAGAGATCCTTCCTTGAAGGAATTAAAGGAGTGAATTAAAATTAATTAAAACAGCCTTGGTCAAACTGGGAGAGATCCTTCCTTGAAGGAATTAAAGGAGTGAATTAAAATGAGATCCTGGCAGCCTTGAGACAGACTGGAGATTGCTCCCTGAGTTTTCACAGTCTCTGTCCCTGTGGGGCTGTGTCAAGGTCTCCTGTGGCAGCACAAACCCTACAGAATTCCATGTAGAGACCGTGGGATGTTCCCAGACCCTGTGGATGCTGTGGGAAGCAGGATGCCCTACACCACAGTGAGGTACAGGGGCAGAGTTTAGCAAAAGCTGCAGTGCAGGCATCCATAAGGATTTGGAAATCCATGGAAAACACGTGCAGGGCCGCATCCACCCAGCCCTTCAAGGGCTTTTTCGTGCCCTTGTGCCCTCATCAGGCCGTGTCTCCACATCCATATGCAGATTCCCAGTTTGTGCATGTGCCAAGGCAGCATGGCAGGTCAGGGATGGTTAAATGACACAATCCCAGCCCCGTTTCATGTGTGAGCTGAATCCTGCTGCTGGCACAGTCCAGTGGAGCTGCCTGGGGGAGTTGCACAGGCTCTGCTGAGCTCATTTCACGTCACGAGGCAGTGAAGGAACCCGGCTGGGAGATCACAGATCCTTCCTGTATTTCCTGCAGAGCCTTTCCAGGCAGATAAGGAGGGCCTGGAGGAGCAGGCTGGGTGTTTGCACAGAGCTGCCTACAAGGAGCAGGGTGCCAGGGTGGTGCCAGGGAGTTCCCTGCCCAAGCAGCGAGGAGCCCACAGATCTGCAGCTCAGTGATTCCCTGGCTGTAATTTAGCAGCATTCAGCCCCCTCACACAGATGGATTTACCAAAAGGTGAGGAAAGCTTAAAATGAAACCCCAAATATCCCCCAGTGCACACCCCTGATGCATTCAATGTCTCCACAACTTCAGCTCCTGAGCCACTGCTGAGCAGATGTTTCTAAAGAGATGGGGAGAGCGCTTTGCTCATGACTTCTCTGCTGCCTGCTGATAAAAAGGCCACCAAACACCTCCCCCAGAACCCCAGCATCCTCCTGGAAATGGATAAAACCTTCCCTCCTGCCAGGGACAAGCACATATTTGGGGACGCCTTGCCGGCTGTGTGGTTGTGGGTGGCAGAAGGTGGAGCTGGATGACGCACGGGGACAAAAGCCAGAGGGGCGGGGATGGAAATATTAAAACACTTCCTGGAGGGCAGATCTCCTGTCTGTGCTGCTGGGAGGAGGAAGAGGAAGGTGCTCAGCCCCTCTCTTCCCCCTCCCCATCTTGACAACAGCGAGGAACTTGAGCCCCACTGTGCCCAGGGGATGCTGTGCTGCTTTTCTGACCAGGAAAGTAAAGATTTATATATATATATATATGTATATTTTTCTGTTTGGCAAAAAGTGCAGAAATTAATACAAGGAAATGAAATGCATCTGAATCAATTAAATACTCTGTTTGTTTCCTGCTGGGCAGGGAAATAAACCATCCAAAACACAATCTCTGTCTTTTCTGAGGGTAAATTCATGTAAATTTATACTTTGCTTTTATACCTTAAGACTTCTCTATCCCTTTCATGATTTGCTTGGGTAATTTATTTCCAGTTCAGCTTGTCAGGCAGTAACTCCTGAAGGTGCTGATCAGAAAATGGGTACTGGAGCCTCACTTTTTCTAGATACCAGCTAGATAAAGGTAAATTAATTTGTACCTGATCCATCTCCTAACGTGGTGTAAAGCTTAGGAGAGGCTTCCTAATGGTCTCCTCATGGCCTGTAGAAGCAGGAGGGATTGAGGTTGGCTTTCTGTCTCGCTCCAGGCGTTGGACCAGGGGCAGTCAGGACTTGTTGCCACCCGAAGCTGAAGGGGAACGCCCATCTCTGACACCATGGCTGGGGAATGGCTTATCAGGTACCTGCGACAAGGCTGAGATGACATTTGCAGCAAAAGCAGCAGGGACACCTCCCTGGGCTGTGAGAGGGGCTGGGGCCAGGCAAGGAAACAAGGAGTCCATGGGTGCTAGAGCTGGGCTACTCTCCAGGCCTTGGCTCTCCTGGCTGGCACTGGCATTGCTGTCCCCAGCTGCCCCTCACACAGGACATGGGGTGTAATTGGTGAGGTTACTCCAGGCTAATCAAACAGCATTTTCTGTTCATTAATCAGGTGAAGACCACAGAGCTCTTGACACTGCACCTAATGGGTTTCATCAGTCATGCCTGGCACATCCCCCACAAGGAAGGCACCGAGCACTGCACCTCTCCCGTCCTTCTGTAGTGAACCCACAGCCTCCCTCTGATCACCATGGAGCACCCAGCTCCCAACCAGAAGAACATCTCCACCCCTGCCAGCGCGAAGGCAGCAGAAGTCCTTAACTCCGAGCTAAATCTTTCTCTGAGGAACAGGGATAAAGAGGCTGTGCTGGAGCTGCTGGAGCAAGGGGCAGATGTGAATTCCAAGGCAGACAGTGGCTGGACACCCCTGCAGACCGCGGTGCAAATCGGTGAGGAGGATCTAGTCCGGCTTCTGCTGGACAGGGGAGCTTCTCTGCAGGCCAGGAAGGACAATGGTGGCACTGCATTTACTGTGGCAGGGGTAGCAGGGAACGTGGAGATCCTGAAGCTCCTCCTGGAGCGCGGCTCAGACATTAATGACCAGGACATCAATGGCTTCACAGCTTTCATGGAGGCTGCATGGCACGGGAGGGAGGAGGCCTTGAGGTTCCTGTACAGCAGAGGAGCAGAGGTGAATTTGAGGAGGGTGACCAGCGAGGAGAAAGCCAAGCTGCACAAAGGAGGTGCCACGGCGCTGATGGACGCTTGCAAGGAGCGCCACTTCTCCATTGTGAAAATCCTGGTCCAGGAGATGAGGGCTGATGTGAACATCCGTGACAACAGAGGCAGGAACGCCTTGATCCACGCCCTAAAGAAGGATTTGGGCAGAAAAAGGTACGAGTCAGTTGTGCCCATAGTTCATTTCCTGCTGGAGCACGGTGTGGATGTGAAGAGCAAAGATGAGTGTGGGAAAACAGCCCTCATCCTGGCTGTTGAAATGGAGAGCCCGGAGCTGGTGACAGCTTTGCTGGAGAAGGGAGAGATAGACATTGATGACATGGATGAGAAGGGCAACACAGCCCTGATGGTGGCTGTGGAGAAAGGTGATCACAAAACAGCAAAGCTGCTGTGTGAAAAGGGAGCGAGGACTGATCTTGGGAACCCGATTGCAATTGCAATGGAAAATCGTTCTCGAAGCATGGAAAACCTTCTTCGTGAGTACAGGGCCAGGTTTGTTCCAGAAACCCCCAGGGCATGGGAGCCAAACAGCAAACGCTGGAGGGCCCAGCTGATAAAACTTCATCAAATGCATCGCCCCATGATTGGCAAACTGAAGATGTTTCCATACAACCAGCAGAAAATTCAGGATGACATCTACCTCGGGCTCCATGGAGGGACAGAGGTAGCAGTGAGAATAACCCGCAGCTCAGAGGGTGACGAAGAGAAAGAGTTCTTTGAAAAATGCTCTCACTGCGAACATCTACTGAAGCTCTTCCAGTCTGAGAAGGAAAAAGATTGCATGTACTTGTGCTTCCCACTCTGGGAGAAAAACCTCCAGGAACACCTGCAGGAGCCTGAAGGCCAAAAGGATTACAAAGCTGCTCTGAAGATGATCTTCCAAGCACTGAGAGAGCTTCACTCCCTCAGATTTGCTCATCAGGATCTACAGCCCGGGAACTTCGTAATAGGTTATGTTTTGCTTTCTTTGTTTTCATTTTGCTTTCCCTGTAGCTTAGGGGAGAAGGTGCCTCACAGCTGTCTGTAAAAATGGAGATGTCATTGTGCTGAATGGGGTGGCTTTAGGTCTCCTCTTTAAATGAGTACAGATAATTTCACAGAGAGAACAGCTTTACACATCTCATTAGCTCTGCCCCCCTCTCCAGGGCTCTGCAGGCAGATCAACCCATCACAGATGCCTTCAGAGAACTGTTTTTTAAAGAAGGGGCCATCCAGGAGTCAGCAATGGACCGTATGAAGCTTTGCCACCTTTATTTATTAACAATTTCTCTTATTTCCTCAGATTTAGCCGGCAAAATTTACTTAGCGGACTTTGGTAATAAAAGAAGGTCGATTGAAGGCCAAGAAGAGCTTGTAAAGTCAGATTTAAAGGCAAGTTCTCTGTGAACCAACCCGTGGTTTGAAATTTTGGGTACTCTGCAGCTGTGGGTCCTAGGGAAAGGCGTTTTTGAATCCCACAAAACACCTGGATTCGTGGGAAAGCCCTGTAGTGGCAGATGTCGCGTGGGAGCGATGCTGATTTGGACGCCCATCTCCTCTGTCCTTGTGCACACAGGGTCGAGGTTTGTGTTGGGTGTGTGTTTTACACTTCTGAGCAGCTGCAGGGTTTGGGGGCAGGAATCCTCTCCCATTGTGTGCCTGCAGCACTGGAGCAGTGATGTCTCTCTTGCAGGCCTTGGGCAGGCTCGTGCTCTACGTTTTAACAGCGGGCAGGAAACCTCTCCAGCAAGTTGGAATGGAGGACTTGGATCCCAATTCCCCAGATTATGTGGAGGCTCTGGACCTCGTGCAAAGCTTGTCTTCTGGTGATGAACGAGGCTTGGAAGGGTTGAGCAAACATCCCTATTTCTGGAGCAATCAGAAGTAAATCCTGGGAGCACAGAGGAGGTGGAATTTTGGTGTGGGTCAATGAGCAGTGATGTCCCTCTGCAGCTAATGAAGCTTCTCATCCCACAGCAGGTTCAGCTTCCTGAAGACTATATGGAATAAAATCAAAGATTACAAAAAGCAAAAAAGGATTTTTAAAGCTGTCACTAAGAAAACTTTTCCTTATCCAGAGTGGACCAAAATGGTAATCCTCTTCAGTTTGGATTGGTGTCAGGTTTGAGCTAGGCTTGGTGTCAGGTTTGATTCAGGCAGAAGATTTTCCGAGTGTTTCACGGGCTCTGTTTAAAAATGGAACTGGAAAAAGTAGACCCACACAAAATACAGACAACTGGGAAATACAATTTAATCGAAGGCACGTAGTCAGAAGATGTTGATGCTAAAGGGAGCTCTGCTAACTGGGGTGAATAAATGGGTTGGTCATTCTCAAATTGTCTGGTAAAACTTCAAAGTCTATTGGTTTTTGTGGGGTGTGAAAGGCAGGGAATAATCTGTGTGCTTCCTTTCAGATCGACCAAGATGTTTTACATATCATGGAAAATCCTAAGAATGCAAAACCTACCCAATACAAAAATGATGTCACCCAGCTCCTGAGGCTCATGAGAAACATGGATGAGCACAAAGATGAAGGGTACGTGTTCTCATCCTTGTTCTTTACATGGGTGCATAGGATCAGAGAATATCCTCAGCTGAAGAGGACCCACAAGGATCACCACATCCTGTCTTTGCCCAGGACAAGCCTAAGAATCCCCACCATGTGCCTGAGAGAGCTGTCCAAAATTAAAGGAAAAAAAAAAAAAAAAAAAAATAAAAGAAAGAAAAAAAAGGATTGAGGAGTAGAAAAGTTGCAGCTCTGGGGTTTCTAGGAAACCTCCCCATGTTATCATAAAGCTTCTGGAAAGGCTTTCCCTCTGCAATGGCATCCTAAAATATTGACCCCCTTGGACAAGCTTTAAAAATCCTGTTTGCTTTTGTTCTCTTTCAGGATCAGTAACAAAATAGGAGACTATGCTGAGTATTTCCTGGCGGTTTTTCCAAAGCTCACCATCTATGTGTACCACAGTTTACGTCAGACCCCCATGCGCAGACACTTTGCAGACTTCCAGGACCCTTCTCTGTAGGATGTCACCACCTCCTGTCCCGTGTCTGACCCCACCATCATTCCTTTTATTTCTTATTTATTCACCTGCAAAAGAGCTGAAGATGTGGGTGAGGAGATGGGATAAAGCACACGCAGGGACAGAGTATGGAGGATTTAAATTAGGAAAGATTCCAAGGAGTTTGGTGTAACAACCACGAGCTTTGGAGGCTCTGATTTGCACTGTGATTAGACATTGTCATGGAAAAGTTGAAATGTTTCAGCTGTTGAAAAGGTTGGTTTTTTGTGGGTTTGGTTTTTGGTGGTTTTTTTTTCAAACTGGGAATTTTATTCTTTCAATGACTCCATGGAGATACAAACTTGAAATAAACTTGACTAGAAAATTGACTCTACACTCCTTTAGGAATGAGATTCCCACATCCCCTCTGCACAGGAGGAGAGGTTCTGCAGCATCAGGACCTGCATCAGTGGTCCTGTCTTGGAGCAAAGGTCCTTCTGAAGGACCTGAGAGCCTTTTAAATACATAATGGAGGTTTGACTAAGCAACTGTTGATGATAAAATGCAACCAGGAGAATGCTGACTCCTCTTGTGCCAATCTTTTTGGGTTTTCTACCTTTCCCCCCTGCTCTCTTTTTATTTTTATTTTTTTCTTGTTCACTGTGTCTTTCTCATGCCCAGAAGGCAGAAGGACACCCAGAGATGAGTGCTCAGGTCTCAGCAGTGCGGGGAACAGGGGGCTGTGGGGTGCAACAGCAGCATTTCTGCTCTGGCATGAAGAGAAGTGAGGCTGGGCTCCTCCAGCCTCCTGTAAAATACCACATTCCCGACTTTCTGTGACCTTTGCAACTTCTCCCATCACTCTGCTGTTTCACTGGAGGGACCCCAAAGGTGTGCCCAAAACAGAGCAATGATTAAACCCAGGGAGGCTGTGACTTATGTCTCTGGGGCAATCTGGCTGCTGGCAGGAATTTCCAGGGATGGCTCCTGGGCTCTGTGCTGCTGTCAGAGAAGCCAGAAGCACCAGCAGGCTGCTGCTGTCAGTGGAGAAACCTGATCCATGCATCCAGATTGCTCCTGGAGCATCAGACCATGGGAGGAAGGAATGCAGGACTTGGGAGCAAGGCTGGAGAAAACACCAGGCTGCTTCTCCCAGGAGGATGCCAAACTGGTGGCCAGTGCTGCAGCTGGGTGGTGTGGCAGTGCCTGGGGCACAGCCCAGGGATGGAGGTGTCCTGGGGAGCTGGGGGCAGAACCAGCTGCCAAAATGAGTGCTGTGAGATGTCCCAGCACCGGTGCCCAGCTGGGAGGCGCTGCCTGCCTTTACCTCAGCGGGGTTTGCAGCCCACCAACGATGCCCAAAGGTGTGATTTGGCCCCACACGCTTCATTGCCCTGCTGTCCTGCCTGCATTCGCTGTGCCTCTGCTTTTTCCTCTGCTGGGACCCCCCAGGCCAGCTGGCCCAGCCCAGTGTGATGGGATCAGGTGCTCCCTGTCCTGGCTCTTGCACGCTGAGGATGCGCCTGTGTGCACAGGGATGCTCCCAGCTCACCGAGGCTCATCTGCTGCTCTGAGAAACAAACCCACAAAGCAGCCCACAGGAGCAGTGGAGTGAAGGCTTTACTTAGCTGTGGTTTCGCTGTGCTGAGCTTCAGGCACATCTGTGAGGCCTTAGAGGACCTGGGCTCAGGTGGGTTCAGGAGTGTTAGTGAAAAGCTGACAAAAACACAGCAAGATTTCGGGGCTGAAACTTTTGAGGCAAAATAAACTTCCAGCATAAAAGCAGCTCTGAGAGTTGGTCACATTTCATTTCAGCTTCCCAAGCCCTTCAGTTAAAGAAATGTTCTTGGGTTTGGGTATTTTTGATCCTCCAGAGGCAAAGTGTTGATAATCATAACTGATAAATAGGAAATATGCCTTAAAATGCAGCTGGTGTTATTCCCAGGATGCATTCTTTTAGGATCTAGAATTAAAAACAGCTCAAAATGACAATGCTGAGAGCTTGCCTCTGACAAACTGATAAAGGTTGTGGTTTTTTTTCTTCACGAGGTCCAAAGAATATTTGTGATTTCTGCAGCTTCCTGGTCACTTGGCAAAGTCACTTTGACTCAGTTTCACCTGGGGAAAATTAAGGCCCTTGCTATGATTTGGTTAGTGTTTTGTAAACACACATTGGCTTAAAAAAAACCCCAACAAAACACCAAAACTTCACCAAAAAAAGAAGCATGCTGAAGCCCCAGTCAGACATGAGCTGATTTTTGTGGGAAAATCAGAAAGGCTTTGTCAAAACAGGCATTTTTCTCAGCAGCCAGCTGAGTGAGGGAACCAAATGGGCTCTCTCAGCCACAGGAAGTGTTTAATTTGTGTGGAAAGGTGAGGAGCTGAGGTACATGCTGCAGATCCACGTGAGGAGGGAGATTTGTGTGGTGTTTCAGCTGGAAATACGTGTCACAGCAAGTCCCTGCAGAGCTGTGAGCTGTTGTGTGCTGTCACCAGGTAAACTGGAGGATGCTGTGAGTTGCTTTTATTTTTAGGTCTTATTGCTCACAAACTTCAGATGATTCCCTGTGTCCAGGCTGCTCAACTTCCTCAGATTCCACCTGTGTGGGTGCTGTTTCGGGAGGGCTGAGCTTCTCTTCGTTCCTGCAGGGAAGGGAGAGATGCTGCAGCAGTGGCTGCTGTTGCTGAAGGCAAGGTGAGGGTGCTCCCAAGGAGTTCTGGGCATGGAGAGGGGTCAGGGATGTTCCCAAGGAGTTCTGGGCATGGAGAGGGATCAAGGATGTTCCCAGGGAGGAGTTCTGGGCATGGAGAGGGATCAAGGATGTTCCCAAGGAGTTCTGGGCATGGAGAGGGATCAGGGATGTTCCCAGGGAGGAGTTCTGGGCATGGAGAGGGATCAGGGATGTTCCCAGGGAGGAGTTCTGGGCATGGAGACATGCAGCAGCTGGGAGTTTTCTGCGACTCTTACTGGAGCTGATGGGGCTGACCAGCATCCTGCACAAACCCTTGGGATTTTAGGGGAGCCACAGCCTGTGGTGTGGGGTTTGGAGGAGGGGAACACCTCTGGGAGTACCTACCCGCCCTGTGGAGCAGACTCGCTGAGTGAGGGCCTCTTCTCCTCACTGGGACCTGCATCTGAGGGCAACAACAGCACAAACTTCCACCATGGGCTGCTGCAGGGAGCCCTCCATCCTCCTGCAGCTCCCATCCCTGCAGCCCTCAGGAGCAGGAGGGCCCCTTTCAGCACTGGCTCACCTTTTTCCTCCTCTGAAGGCTCCTTTATCATCTCGGGCCGTGGCAGCAGGAGCTCGAGGCCGCCTGACAGCGTGAAGATGAGGACAGCCCTTCTACCTGGTGAGGGAAAGGACATGGAGAGCTCTGATGGCAAATGAGGGACGACAGCAGGACCCTCAATCATTTGACTCTAGCCCAGAGCACAAGGAAGGATGGCTGAGCAAGACCTTGAGGTCTCCTTGATGGCAGAACAGTTTGGGGGCTGCAGGGTGGGAGTGCCATGTCCCACCCGCCCTGGCTCTGCAGCAAAGCTGGGGGGCAGAAATGGGAGATGGAGAGGTGTGCCAGGCTTTGTGCCTGCCTGGGCAGCATTTTCCCAGGCTGGTGCTGGTACACCACGGTCCCCAGTGCTGGTGGCCATGCCCTGGGGCCGGGCAGTGCAGCCACAGTGATGCCTGGTGATGGCAGATGGGTCCCTGCCTGCCACCACCCAGCCCTGCTCACACCGCGCCTGCACATCCCTCAAAACAAGGCAAGAGCACAGCGTGGGGGAGAGGAGGTTTTCTTTGTGATTTCAGGTGTTTCCCCCAGCAATTCTGGTGCTTTTTAAAAGGCAACAAAACAAAGTGTTTTTTTTTTTCACCCCCCCCCCCCCCCCCCAAAAA